CTTGGGTTCTCGAAGGAACCCAGTGCCTAGGTTCGAGAAGAAACCCAGCACCTTGGTTCTTTCTCGAACCCAAGGCCTGGGTTCTTTCTCGAACCCAAGGCCTAGGTTCCTTCTCGAACCCAAGGCCTGGGTTCCTTCTCGAACCCAAGGCCTGGGTTCCTTCTCGAACCCAAGCGCTTGGGTTCACGAAGGAACCCAGCCGCCTGGGTTCGAGAAGAAACCTAGCACCTGGGTTCTTTCTCGAACCCAATGCCTGGGTTCTCGAAAGAACCCAAGCATTGGGTTCGAGAAGAAACCCAATGCCTGGGTTCTTTCAAGAACCCAGTGCTTGGGTTCGAGAAGGAACCCAAGGGTTCTTGAAAGAACCCAGCTCTTAGGTTCTAACGAAACCCAGCGGTTGGGTTCTCAAAGGAACCCAATAGAGACTGCTGGTACAACTCTTCTAGGGTTCAAAGGGGAAGAAGGGGGAGAAGATAGTGAGTTTGGGGGGGCAGGAGGTGGGCCCCATAATTTATTTTTTTTGTTGGCTCAAAAACTGACATGGTTTATGACATGTGCCATGTGTACAGTTGACGTGTCACAATATTTTGACATGTCATCATACTCAGTTAATTAATGAGACACCTCACTATATTTTTAATGGAAGGACCAAGTTGGGGTAAAATGGGTAAACAATAGGGACCAAATCAGGGATTTTTTTAGTTCAAGGACTAAATCAGGGGTCCGTACAATAGTTCGGGAACCAAAAAGGGGTTTTAACCCCTTTTCTTCTTTGATTTGCCCCTGTTTCTCTGCAAGCCCTCCATTCTAAAACCCTTTCCTGCAAATTCTCCTTCCATCCTTCCGACACCATAGCCACTTGACCAATTCACCGGAGGCCTGAAGACAATGTCGAAGAAATTCCAAGGACAAATCAAAGGAAATGGTTCTGTAAAAAATTTGGAAAGTAGAAACAAGGAAAGTTGAAGATGAGCAAAATTGGGTTTAATATTTTGAGTCAAAGATGAACAAATTATATTGTTAACTTGAAATGGTGTCATTTTATTAATTCATTCTAACTAAAAATTGGTAATACCGGTTGAGATCCAGTTTTATGTAACCCAGATATAGAGTTTTATGCTACACGCATTGTTCCGCCCTCAATTAATAACTTAATATACCATTTGAATTGAAATATTAGGTCATTTATGTTTGGTTAAACCTCTATTTGGTCCCTCAACTATTAATAACCCCCAAGTGAGTCCTTCAACTTAAAAACTGTCTTATTTAGTCCCTAACGTTTGATATTTTGGCTCCAACTTGGTCCTTCCATTAAAAATTTTGTGATATGTCTTGTTAACTCACGAAAGCATGATGACATATCAAAATATTTTGACATGTAAAATGTACAAATGAAAAAAAAGGTGACATGGCAACATACATGTCACATTTTTGCCAAGCACACAAAAAAAAAAAAAAAAGGGACCCACCACCTACACAAATATAGGATTTCTCCCTTTTCTTCCCATTCAAACCCTAAGAGAACAAAGCCCTTCCATTCAAACCCTAATTGCTCAACCCGCAATTGCTTTTTTCTTTTTTCCATTAACCAAATCAATTCAAAGAAGATAAAAGAACATGAAATAAACCTAGTAACAAACAAGAAATACATGAAGAAAATTGAAAACCAAAGGATGAAGAAGCTTCCAAGGAAATGAAATCCCCAAAACTGATCATACCCAAAACAAACCCTAGAATACAAAATTGGGGAACCAAGAAGCCAAGCTAGGTTTGAACATCATGGGAATTGAAATGTTGATGATTTAGGAGCTAGGAAACGAGACATTCGCAACACAGCTTCCTCGGTCTCTTCAAATCTAATCAAATTATCTATGAGCAAGAAACAAAAGAACCATTAGAAAAGCTCCAAAAAACAAAAAAAAAAAAAAAAAAAATGGGTTTCTGCAAAAAATCCAACTCCAGCACTATTATCTAAACCTAGGGATCTCAAGCTCTTTTACATTGCTATTCCATATGCACACACTCTATACACTTTCTCTTTTCCTTCTCACCTCTCTACTCTTCATCAATGGTTGACTTGTTCTAGACGAACTCAGATCGAAGCCTCTTGCTCTTCCCAACCATTACAGTACTAGAAATAGGGCTTTACTCAATCAAGCATCTTAATCAAATAAGTAAGAATTTTGACCAAACAAGAAGTAATTCGATCAAATTGCTTGGCTGAAATATTAATCTGAATATCTACTATATAAAATAACAATTCGAACCAAATTTCATCTTGACCAAAAATGTTGGACAATTTTGGTAAAAAAATTTGATCAAAAATGTGAGTGCGAAATCTTTTATTCTAGACAAATTCGGTCAAAATAATTGACCAAAAATGTTACTAGGAAATCTTCAATTTTAGACTAATTTGGTCAAAATATTTGACTAAAATATTATTTTCAAATTAAAAAAAATTAATATATTTGTGTAATTATAGTATACATATAATTACTATTTTTATATAATTACAAAACAAATTTAATTAATATTTAAACATCTATTTATTTTATCCAAATCCAATTGTATTAAAATTTTAAATTGAATATTATGTCAAAAAAATCAAAATTCTATAAAAATATTTAAATTTATGCTAAATGGTGGAGAGTTGATTACTAACCTTTTTTTTTTTTTTTTTAGTTTCTCCATCCTTAACACCAAGAAAGAGTTAATCACAAATTTCAAACTAAATGGGAAACTTAATGAAAAGGAAAAAATTATAAAATTTTAATGAAATATAAAAAATAAAAAATAAAATAAAAGTACTTGATGAGAACCCCAAAGAGAACAATGAGACCCACAACACAACAAGGGATTTTTAAACTCCAGGAAAGAAAGTTGGTTGATGCCACACTCTCGAATGATTAAGAACAAGAATGATAAGTCAGGTTAGAACGCCACAAGAATAATCTTGATAAGTTCTGTAAAGTTCTGAAACGAACCAAAGAGAAAAGTCTCTCAAAATCTCAGATTCAATCCTCCCCAATTAGGGTTACAAGCCCCTTTAAATAGGGAAAAGTAATTCTAATCAGAATAGGAAACTAACACCCTAAGCCCTAATCATAATAACCACAAATTGGGCCTTAAATAAATGAATGTTCAGCCCAAAATAATATAAAAAATGTGAAAATACTAAAAGTAACCTAAAATAACATGAAATATCAGTTTGTTACAAATTGTGACAGAATTGTGAGATTGACGCAAACTGGGTAATTTACCATAAATGACCTCAATTAAGCTTCTCTTGAACCTGAATGATGTTTATCATGCCTTGATAATCATCCAAGCTTCGATTTGCTTGTTGTATGTTGTTTTCAACCCAGATCTGCTCAATAAGACCATTTAAAGCTTCACGCATCTTCTTAACTCTAGCTCGTGTGACTGGACCTCCTTGGGTGTGTAATGGATCACATGACGTAGTAGATATGCTATCGTCTTGATTACCATCCGTACCAATTGAGATGCCTCCTTAAAATGCCTTTAATTTCTATTATAAAATCTTGCCAAAAAAATTGATATCAATATTAATTGAAACAAACTTGTAAATTGTAAAAGAAATAAACTAATAAGATTAAAATTAAAGGAAGATAGAGAATGAAAGAATTAAAGTATACGAAATAAAAGGAAGGAATGTATGAGGAAAAGAGAATGTGAGAAAATGGAAGATAGGATGAGGGGAATGAATGAAACAAGAGGGAAAGTGAAGAAAAGAGAAGATGAGAAAAAGAAAGAAATGAAAGAAAATGGTGGAAATAAAGAGAAATGAGGAGGGGAAGTAATTAAAAGGAAGAGAAAGATGAGAAAGATGAGTGTGGAAGGCAAAATGAAGGGAAAAGCATAAAGAAAGAAGAAGGAAATGAGTGAAATACAATTTAAAGTGCGTGAATTGTTTTTATAGACTTTAAACCATTTTGGTCAAAAATTCTAACAGAAATAGTTTTGGTACATTTCGCATGATTTTAGAGCCCCCAAAAAAAAAAATCTAATTTCGGACAATAATTTTGATCGAAATAGTTTTGGTGGAAAACTCAAAATATTTCACTTGATTTGTGGAGCCAGAACATTTAATTTCGAACAAGAATTTTGATTGAAATAATTTTGGCTAAAGATTCAAGAAATTTCACTTAATTCTTGAAGCCAAACAATACAATTTTGATCAAGCATTTTGCCTGAAATAGTTTTATAGAAAAATTTAATAAAAAAAAGCACCATACTAATATAATAAAAAAAAGAGGTGATTATTTTGGTCAAACAACTTGTTCGAAATAGTTTCATAAAAAGTTTATATATATATATATATGGAGGAAATAAAGCACCATATTAACATAATTTTTTTTAAAAAAGGAGACAATTATATTGGTAAAGCATCTTGTCTGCAATAGTTCCATAGAAAATTAAAAATATTTAGGAAAAAAGCACCATATTAATAAAATTTTTCTTAAAAAAAAGGAGAGTTATTTCCATCAAAATTTTTTACCGAAAGACATAACTAAATAAAAAAAAATTACTTAATTAATTCAGTTAAAATTTATGACCAAAATACTTACTATTTTATTATTAATATTTTGGATACAATATCTGATGGGATTAATGATGATGCCAATTGGTGCTTTTTTATTTGGATCAATACGTTTGACCAAAATAATTTTAAACTAAATTATTACGTTAAATACCTTTTAATTAGACTAAAGTATATTTTAGTCAAAATGCTTGACCAAATTAAGAATTTCTTCCGTCAAAATATTTTCTTGTCCCAAATATTTTGTTCGAAATGAAGCATTTTCTAATTGTGTTACCTCCACCCTAATTGGAGCTATCAAGAACCACCACCCCAATTGGAGCTATCAAGAATTGCCACCTCAATATTTAAAATCCCCTGTTGCTTCCCCAATTGCCAGAGAACTTGAACCAAGATGAAGCAAATTCCAAATCTAGTTTATTTTCCTCTTCTTACTTTTGCATAGGGTGAGCAATTGATTATAAATCCGTCACGATTGTTAGGTGTGCAACCAATGGACAATCAAATCTAGAAGAAAGAAGGGTAAAGAAGATCAAGGGAAGAAGATGAACTGATTTGGTAATGAACTGAGGTCATTTTGATGAAGCCGACCCAAAAAAAAAAAAAGGGAAATAGTCATTGGTGAAGAGGAAGATGATTAGAGGTGATTTTAGAAGGTTTAGGGTTTGCAGAAGGTAAAGGAAAAGAAGAGGAAAGAGCAAGGGAAAGAGAAAGAGAAAAAAAAAAAAAAAAAAAGAGGAAGGAAAAAAAGAAGGAAAAAGGAGATTTAAAAAATAATTTTTTGCCATGTCATCCATTTATCCATGTTGTTAATCCTATGTGTCAACATTTTTAGACACGTCATTTATCATTCCATCAATTAACCAGTCATATTAGCAGATTTTTAACGGAGTGACCTAGTTGGAGCCAAAATATCAAATTTTAGGGACTAAATCAGGAATTTTTTAAGTTGAGGGACTCACTCAGGGTCCATACAATAGTTGAGGGAGCAAATTAGGGGTTTAACCTTTATGTTTTAATATTTATTAAAAATTTTACAAAATTTATTGAATATTTCTTTTGTATTTATTAAAAATTTAAAAAAACTTATTGAGTATTTTTTGGATATATTTATTCAAGACTTTATTTTGCATTTATTAAATATTTTTGAAGATTAAAGGCTTATCAAATATTTATTTAAGATTTGTTAAAAAATTTAACAATTGTTATAATATAGTAAAACTTGTTCCTAATACTTAGTCATTTAGCTCCAAAATTCTCTGAGAACCATGCTTAATCTAGTTAGGAAATTTTCTCTCTTGTCCAGAAGCTCTCAATAATTACTAAGAATCTCTCATAAACTATGTATCTCTCTTATATTTTTTTGGTTTACTACCAGTATCACATTTTAATAGTAGGTGAAAAGTATTGAAGTTTGGTTTGGAGTAAAAATTCAAAGCCTACTTCAGTCAGGAGTTTCCAAAAATTATTGTCAACACATCATGTCCTAGAATCTGGAGAACCTTCCAGGTTTCGGAATATCCAACTATTCTCCCACTTGAACACTGAATTTCCTTCTGATGAGTTTCCAGAACATCCAAGCTTGTTGCCACTTTTTGTCAACTCTACAACTCTCACCTTTTGAACTTTAATTTCTTCATGAAATTCATGTCATATCTCAACACAATGTTGTAGTATTGAATCTCATCAATGTCTACGTGCATATCAAATTGTACTAGATATAAAGTTTATGAACATTTATTGGTATATATTTCAATTCAACACTTTAGACAATTTATTTATTAAAAAATTATTATTTCTTAATATATAATTAAAAATAAATAAATTTAAAAATATAACAATATATACAAGATACTTAAATTAACTATATTTATATTATATTTTAAAAATTAAACCAAACCAAATATAAAAAAATATATTGAACAAAATATGTATCAATTATTTTTTAAATTTTATTTCTTGTTACACTGCAATCAAAGAAAGAATTTCAATCTACACCAAGCCAAAAAATTAAACAGAAAAAAAAAAAAAAAACAAACAAACAAACAAACCATGAATCTTTGCCCATTGAATCTCCACTAAGCAGCCCGGTGCTTGCACTATCGTTGTCATCCATAGCCCCTCCACCACCGGTCTCCTATCTTTTCCTACGCCATCTCAATCCTTATCGTCCCCTTAAGCCGCCAGCGATGCCAGCACAATCATCTGACTCCAAACATCAACCAGCAACACTATAGTGCTGTTTGTCTGAAGGCAAAATCATAAGTTAAGCCCCTAAACTAACCCCAGAATCACCATTAAGTCCCCAGACTTTAATTGATGCATATAAACCCCTAAACCTTTACTCTCACAGCCAATTTAACTGCTGTTACTTGCTGTTAACTGCTGTTCGGGGGACTACCTCGTGTGGTGAAATATGGCCATCTCATGCCTATGTAGCAAGGGATTTGACATTTGGTTTCCCCACCTGGATGTAAAAAAAAATAATAATAATAATTTATTTGTATTATTTTTTTTGTATAATTTTACATATTATTTAAATTATTAACTCTTTTTATTCATGAGTTTATTTAACTCATACTTTAAAGGCACAAATTAAAAATGTAATAAATATATTTTTTATAATAATTTTATGTCAAAAATAAAAGTTAACCTTTAATTTTTTAATTATCCTATTAAATTTATCCATTTAGCACCAATA